TATGCCAGTACTTAATAGTATTAGTATGGACTATTTACTAGAATTATGTAGTATTACATGTATTACAAGTATTATGTATTATAGGTATTACATGTTTGAGTGACATACAAATCACTTAAAGGTTCATATGCCTCTGGGACATTGATGTTAGGTTAAAAGGCACATAACAGTTGTGTTGTTACATGCCTGTGATCATTTTTATGAAACATGGATAAACTACATACACAGAAATAGATTTTGTTCAGAATAAAACGTCAGTAGTCTGCAATAATTCTTAAGATATTTTTTAACTTCAAAATGCTTTTAGCTGAATTGAAACTACACATTATGCCTAAGGCCCAAAACATATTGCTGTGTCTTTTGCTCTTAATTGGCAGTAAACGAACTGCAAGCTCTGGATTTTACGACAAATTTCACAGAGCAACAAATGCAGCAGAATTATTTGCGTAGCATAAAGGTACGAGATTCCATTGTGATGTTTTCACACTGAAACGGACTGAACGGTGGTATCTTGAAAAGCAGGATGTTATCAGATTTAGACAGATTCCTCACCAGCCATCAGATTTTAAAACCACTCAGCCTTTATGGGAAGTGCTGGGTTTCCTTCTCCTTCATGTCTCAAACAGCTATAATTTCCTTCAGTGTGTCAGGATGCGGAGACAGCAGGACGAGGAACACTGAGGCTGGTCTGAGGACAACGGGTGGCCATGTGCTCGTGTAGCATCCACGCACCACGTATACAATTATACCTCCCCTGTCCTCACTTTTGGGCTGGCTCTCAGTGTCCCTCGCAGCATGGACCCAACCATCTATCGTGTGTTTTTATCTGCAGAGAAGCCTTTTGCCAGGAGAAAAGGATCAACCGCTAATTTTTCAGTTCGCACCCTATGATTATATGACCCTTCAGAGTTGCACCCAGCAGAGGTGATACAAAGGAAGGATTATAAATCCCCTTTTCAGATGGAATGCGTAACGTTGCTGGCTTCATCGGTGACAGAGAAAGTCACAGCATGCTTGTGATATTTGCCAGACATGCCAGATTGGACAGTACATCAAGTGACTAAGTCTGATATCAAGCTTATCAAACTGTCGAAATAGCCTCGTTTATTTATGATCTCCTGAATCACTGAACATGATGTGGTTTTATTGTTACTCAGTGACCTGTTGCCATATTGAATGATTAGGTCACATTCTGTGTCTCTGATGCAAACATCCAAAACCCAAAAATCTGTGTAATCAACAGTTTTAGACTTTGATTGATGACTTTTACGAACAGTAAGATAAAACTGTCCTGACAGCTGTGATGGACTCAGCCTGAGCTTGCTGCTACTTAACAAATGATTTAACTGCAGCATGTAAACCATGACTCTGTGTGATGGGCAGCGTACACGTCTGAAATGAAGAAAAGTACACAGTGTGACTTGCTGATCTATCCTGATTCATGCCATCTGCATGGTGGGGATAGTTTATAATTATAAGTAATGAAGTTGTTGCATCTGTGCCAGTTCTTTCGCTGTGGAGATGCTCAGATGGAGCTGATGCTGCAGGTATTTTATACACTCAGGGGAAAACCTCCTGCAAACAGCTTGAAGCAGTAAACTAAACTTCACCTCCTGATAAAATTTGATCAAATTAGACTCACAGCTTCACACGACTGCTTGGACTCTTGTCAACACAAATTTCATACAACTTGGTGCAGAGGGGTATTTGTCAGAGCAGATAAGCTCCCTTCACCCTGAGTCAGCTGGGATAGGCTCCAACCCCCCGCGACCATAGTGAGGATTAAGTGGTGTATAGATAATGGATGGATGGACTTTACTGTGTGAGACCCATCAAAAACACGACCATCACACGAGGAGGGTGGCATGAATTTATGAAACCTTTAACATGGCAGTTTAAACTCTGAGTCAGCCGTGCTTTGAAAATATATTTGGTGAGGCTGTTAAATAATGAGACTGAGCTTCTATCAGTTGAACCGCAGTGTGCACGTCTATGTCGAGTGGTCAAGTGTAGACGAGGACAGAAAATATCGCTCTGAAATTGAAGAGAAGAGGAAATGAGGCAAAACTCTACAGTTATGAAAGGTGTTTGATTTTGGCAGCAAATCCTCTGATGTTTCTGGTGTTGAAATGTAGAAAAAGCCTTCCTTAAGCTCACGTCACATAAAATGAAGTATATCGTTGGTGGGTGCCTGTTTGGCAGGTCAGATGTGTTCTGTGTTAAAGTGATGCGTAAATGTTACTGGTTCCGACTTAGTAAAACCACACAGTGTTCATTTAGACATGAAGCCAGCATGTTCAGGTTAATAGAAAGGAATGAATGTCTGAATGGGCCTTATTTAACGCTGAAGCAGGACTCCAGACTGCGACCAACATGATCACATTTGTGACCTTTCTTGAGCGTGTGTGAGTTAAAATTTCAAGTGGTCGCATTGATGCGAGTGCACGATGACCATGAAGCTGTATTAGCGTCGCTGCACCGGCACAGGCAGCTGCTGTGTTAACCACAGCAGTACAAAGTAGTACTTTTATAACTTCGGTGTACTGCGGTATTTACGCTCAAGTATGCGATCTTCTGGTGAAAAGCGGAGAGCGCCTAAGTGCGTTGTTTTTTCCGCTCGTAGAAAAGCCTGCATGTAGAAACACTCACTTGGTTTCATCTTGGACAAATGTGACATTAGAACAAACTAGTTTACTCTTCTTACAGTGATTTTTGGTCACACATCTGTCTGAGTTCTGGGAGTCTGATGAGACTACAAAGCACCATTTAGCAATAAATATAAATAAATTTAAATATTGTCCCTCTCCAACGGGTGCACGTGAAGGAGGTGTCGCTCATGAACATTATGTACACGTCCACACAGCCTTGAGAAGCCTAAATGAGCTCAAGTAGAAACACCTGTGTGGGTGTAGCGCCGGTGTTTATGGCGTGTGATCAGAGTATAATATGATACGAGGGCAGCCACTCACAAATATCAAAGAAACTCTCAGATGGAGGTTACACCCTCGCTCGGAAAGCAATATAGCAGAAAGAACGCATGTGGCAAAGGTCAGCTTTTCTCATTTCTTTGTTCACTATTGTCTGCGAGCCACACTCTACCACACTGGTTAAACTGTAACTGAGTCCAGTGGAAGCATAGCTGCAATTAACTGTGGTTTACTTGATGATGTTTCTCACCGTGAGTCTGAGACAAAGACGGCCACAGACATATTGGTCCCAGCAGGGAAACCAGATGTGAGCAAGATGTTTGGCTTAATCAGTAGCCACATCACAGTGTTGCATCACATTTAATATGTGTTCTGCACCTGATTAAAAACTGGGTTTTAAGTCTATGTGTCCTAATATTTCTGAATATTGGCTTGAAGTGAACAACGTCACATCACAAATAGATGTATTGGAGGGTCCCAGCAAGTACTGGGCCTGTCGTTACCATCTACACAGCCGAGACAGTCTCAGAAACATGGATTCAGACTTCCAGGGTTCCATTGCATTGAAGGGGTCTGACTTAATCCAGCTGTTACAGAAACCTCTATTGGATTTATTTAGCAGGGTGTATGTTGGCATAATCATCCTGGAATGTAAGAACCACATGAGGGGAAAGCGCCTGTAGCAGACGGCGCACCTGGCCCTGTAAAATCACCGCTTATTCTCTGGCTATTAAATAAAATACATCAATTACACCAGATTTCTGTCCAGACTTTGAGGTATCCAGCAGACTTACTGATCCGTGGGGTTTCCCGGGTTTTTCCACAATACGGCTGAGGATGACTGAGATCGGGGCTTTTCGCGTTGCTCCAACTCAGATTGAAATATAGAAATGCTGTTTTTGTAATCTGCATAACCGAGTTATAGGCGCTGATCCGTGTGCAGCAGAGCCTTTCAGGTGAGGTTGGATTTTTTTCAGCATGTCCCACAGATTCTTGATTAGATTGATCAAATTCTTCCTGAACATTTTTTTGCAGTGCGACAGGCAGCATTATCCTGCTGAAAGAGGCCACTGCGATCAGGAAGTATAGCTGCCGTGTTAGTCTTTTTCCCATAGTGCATCCTGCTGCTATTGTTGAGTTCTTGAGCAGGACCTTCAACCCGACCTGCTCCTGATCATGGCTGACCCTGCAAAAAGAGAATTTCACAGGGCTGTATGTGTGACAAAGAAAGGCTTCTTCTTCTCATCCCCGCGTAAACCACACCACATGATGTAAAAGAAAAAGTGATTAATCAGACCAGACCACTTTCGTCCGTTGCTCTTTGGTCCATGGATGCTCACGTTGCCTCATACGTATCAAGCTGTGGTGCATCGCGTGTCCTGACATCTTTCTATCACAGCCAGCATTGAGGTTTTCAGCACTTTGTTGCAGTAGATCTTGTGTGGATCAGGCCACATTTATGCGCCCATTAGCGTGCTGTTTCACCAACTGTCCTTCCTTGGACCACTTCTGGTAGCTACAGACCACCACATACCAGGAACACCCTACGAGACCTGCTGTTTTGGAGATTCTTAGATGCAGCTGTCTAGTCATCACAGCTCGCCTCTTGCCAGAGTCTCTCAGATTCTTATTCTGCCCATTTTTGCTGCTTCCAACGCATCGACTTCAAGAGCTGCCTGTTTACTTGCTGCCTCATATATCCCTCCCACTGACAGGTGCCATTGTAATGAGATAATGAATTCACTGCACTTGTCAGTGTGGTTTTAATGTTGTGGCTGATTGGTGTATAATGCATTTGTTTTCCCGTCTGTTTGCTGCTATTCATGCGCACACTAAATGCTGGCGCTTAAGTCTATTCTGTGGTTGACTCATCGAAGGAGGCATGTAACTAGATTGCATCCTTTCATTGCAAAATAACTGTGAATAAACTGAACTCGCTGAACTGGCATCCAGCGGTGGGTCCAAGGTTGATATTTTTCATAAGCTGTTCGTACATTATGAGCAGCAGCCTTGTGGTTGATCAGCCTGATGATTTTTCTCCTCCCATGTGTGTGTTTTTTTTTTTTTTTCCAGTGAGAGACATGGACAACTCTGTCACCCTGTGGCAGTTCCTTCTTCAGCTCCTGTTGGATTCTAATAATGACCAGCTCATCTGCTGGACCAATGAGGAAGGAGAGTTCAAACTATTGCAGGCAGAGGAGGTGGCCCGGCTGTGGGGAGCCCGCAAGAACAAGCCCAACATGAACTATGACAAACTGAGCAGGGCGCTCAGATACTACTACGACAAGGTAAAGTCACACCTCCTCACCTCCTGTTGGATACACAGCAGTGGGTTGTAGTCGATTGAAAGTAGCTGTCCTGCATTTTATGCTCAAGCTCCGTGTTTTGGTCTTCTGGCCTCAGTTGTTATGAGTAGTAGCTACTGTGTACAGTAACCCTAACCGTTCGTCGTCCTTCCATCTTGTCAGACATTTGAGTCGTTGTGGCCTTCAGTTCTTTTAAACATACGATGCTGGCATACGGTTAAGCCAGATTTTGATTTATAGCAAATTTTAATGCGACTACTCTGTTTGTTCTGGTTGGAGCTGCCCTAAAAGACAAGTGACGAGACCGTAAGACATTATGTTTGAGATGTTAATGATAAATGTTTACTTTTTTTTAAACTAAAAGTGCAATGTCAAAATTATTCAATTGAAATGATCTCACATTTTTGAGGAAATGAAACTTCTATCCCAAATGGTCCTGGTTATTTCTACAATGTTCTGGAGTAACAACTCTAAATTAAAAGTAAAAAGTAAACCATTAAGGTTAAATAATAACAACACCCACAAGTAATAGATGCAACCTGAGTTTTTTTCCTTCACTAAGAGTAGCTTATGTTTGTTTCTTCCAGCTGTTTAGAAGTTTATGAAATACCTGCAGCATCAGACAGCACTAGGATCCATATCTGTGTTTTCAAAGAGAGATAGTTCCGCACATTTGCACTGGGAATTTCTTCAAATTCCTGTAGTTATAAATCAACCCAGAGAGAGCATAGAAAGTGGAACAGTCCAGGCCAGGTGAGCAGTCAAGCACAACATGGCAGCTCAGCTTCCAGCTGTTTAGGACTATTTCTTCATAGTGTAGGACAACATCAGGAAGTGTCTCCAAGTAGAGCGAGTTGTACGCAGCAGTAACTTCATTATTTGGTTTTAATTGGAAATGATACCTTACATGATGGAGAAGTAATCGACAAGGATCTATCAACAGGTCACTGATGCAGCAGTTCTCCAGTCAGGGTTGCACTTCTTGATTCGCATGCTTTTATAGTACAAAAGAAAATAAAGGTCATGCATCTAAAAAGCTTTGGGTCTGTGTCCCCCTTGGATGGAGCTGTAAGAAGAATGAATATGAATCTGATCATGTGGCATAATATTCTGATATGTGTGGAATCAGATGTTGAGCTGCAATCATAATTAAACCAAATCCATGATGTTTAAGTAGTGCTACTGTGAGTGTTTTGAAGCCACTTGCCCTAAAGAGTACAGAATGCAGAATATAGCTCCCAAACATGTTTTAGAACATAAAAGCGTTATGCTTTCAATAATAATGTGTCCAATACAATCTGCCCATAAAAAAAGTAAAATCATATTGTTATTCTCTCATTAAATTATCCAGATTGCAGGGTTATACTCTTATATTTAGCTTTAGAAATTTAAAGAAAAATGTCTGCTCCTTCACTGTGTAGCTCATTGTCAGTGTGTGGATGCTGTGTAAGTTGTGTCTGGTACCACAGTTGGCTTCGAATTAGTTGTAATGCCACAAAATTGTGTCGCTTGTATGCATGCATGCCGAACATTATTCTGATCAATGCAGGTCAAATTTTCAACCGAGGTTAACTACAAACAAAACACATTCTTGAGTGTAGGGGGACTTTGAAGTCCACTTCTCAAGAGAAGGAGAGCGCTGTCGGTCTCCCACTCTGCTTGTGGTTTGGCAGCGTCGCAGCCTGACCGTGTGGGCGTTCAGGGCAGGGCTGCCATGGTATGTTTGGCTGTAGCATTTGTGGGTACTAGTTTGGTACAGACAGGAAGGACAGAGCTGTCCCACTCATGAAGCTTTTCTGTGGTTGACTCTTCTGTTTTTTTTAAAACTCCCTCTCTGGTCGAGGGATACTACATCAGGCAAAGTCTTGTTTCTGCTCTCGCCGTGTGTTTTCTGCCTACATGAATATGATGTTTGCTTCGTCTTTGCCTTTCAGAACATCATAAAGAAGGTGAACGGTCAGAAGTTTGTCTATCGTTTTGTGTCCTATCCCGACATCCTGAAAGGAGAAGTTGCCACCCGAGCAGAGAGCGGGGATGTGGGGGCAGGAGGCATCCCTCCACTGTCGAGGAGGGACGACAGCACCGTCCAGGAGGGCGACGCTGGTGACAGAGCCAAGGTGGGGGTTAGTGCAGCAGCTCTGGCCTCCGGCACCAAGCAGTCGAACCGTAACGACTACATCCACTCTGGCTTGTACACCTCCTTTACTCTCAACTCTCTGCAAAATGGACGCCAGCTCTTTAAGTCCATCAAAATAGAGAATCCAGCCGAGAAGATGGCTGACAAGCGGGGTCTCACTGCCACCTCACAGAGCCTGGAGGCAGTTTCTCAGCAGCAACAACCAACCGCTCTGCCGTCGGTCATCAAGTTTGGAAACACCCCTCCGAAACCAGCACTCACACTGCCTCCTCAGGTTGCCATAGAGCCAACCCTGATGCCCAACCAGTTGGATCTTCTCCAAAGTCCGCCCCAGATGGCTGAGGACATCAGCACACACTCCGCCCTGCCCCAGTCTGTTTACTCATTCGAACACATCCGCCCATCAGCACCGACGTTCCCCACACCAGACCTGACCTCAGCCAGTCCGTCCCCAAGCTTAGTGCTCGAGTCCTCCCAGGAGCTGGTGATTGACAGCGACATTGAGTCCGGATCTTCTCAGCCCACAGATGTTCCGGCGCCGGAGTCAGCAGACGCTCAGACACAGGAGAAGGTTAGTTTACACACTGTTAACAGGAACTTTTAGGAGAACGATGAAGCGTTGCAGAACTGCAGAGAATGTGTGATAATTCTCTGTGAATTCATTAAACATTACACAAGCAATCAGGAGCTTACTGTACATATAGATGCTAACATTGGCTGATTATTTTGTAGTCACACCTTGTCTTACCTTACAGCTTTCCATCATAGAGGAAAGTAAAATTATCACCCTTTTGACTTGATTCATGATAAACAACAAATCGATTTAGTTGTCTCAGCATTGCCAGTGGGTTTTATTATGTATGCTAAATATTCCAGATTAAAATCTAACTCTCTATGGATTTCTTTTTTTTCTGATGCTGGAGAACACACACCGAAAGAACACACACACCTTCCTGTACTGTAGCTTACCATTTTTATTGACCCAAATGTTCTACAGTTTGATGCATGTAATAAAGAAGCAAACTGTTTGCGGCCACCAGTTTGACAGCGCCATCGGTCTGTCTGGAGATGAAACCAGTTTGGTGGATGCTGAAACCAGCTCGTCCTCAGTGAGCAGCAGCACAACAATCAGCACCCAGAGTTTCGGGAGGACACGCAAGCCACCGAAAGTCCTGCAGATCAGCCCTCCGACTGTGCTGGTCACCGCCTCTGACTTCTCCCCCATGAACCTCTGCAGCCCCTCACTACCTACTGGGTCTCTCACACCAGCAGCATTGCTACAGGTGAGAGCCTGGCCTTATCTTCATTTGGTTGTAATGTCAATTTTAGTTAAGGCCTCAGTTAAAGATTATTTAAGATGGAACTCACATCTGCACAACGAAGCAAGAGCTAGCTATAGGCTATGTCATGTCTGTCAGTAGGAAAACATCTGTAGGAGAGACTGATGATTTTAAAAATGAATTTTGATCTGTTAATCAGGGCTCAGGACTGCCACCAAAGTGGTTGCATGTGCGACCTTTTTGTGAGCGTGTGCAAGTTGAAATTTCAACTGGTGGCATTTGTGCAAGTGCATGATGATCGTGAAGCTGTACTGGTGTCGCTGTAACCGCAGGCAGCTACTGCGTTAACCACAGTGGTGGAAAGTAGGACTTTCAGAACTTAAGTGGCGCTGTCAGTCTGTCTCTGCCCGGTGCGTCAAACAAGCTGTTTAGCTGATGTGTGTTAAAAAGATAAAGTGGTCTGTAGCTGATTATTTAAAAAGAAAATGATGGAGGAGGAGGCAGACAGAGAGAGGAGTGACACAGACACACCTAATGATCAGATTTTAGCTTCGCACTATTACATGAACACGATCCACTGCGGTATTTACACTTACGGCCTTCTCGTGAAATGCGGAGTGCACCTGCATGCACTCTTTTTGTCTGCTCATAGAAAGAAGAAGAAGCTTTATTGGCATTGTACAAGAGATACAACAACATCTCGTGTGGCATCATCTTTACAGCAGCTAAGAAAAAAGTTAAAAGGTGATATAAATAATAAAGTAGCGATAAAATATAAAGTAAATACTCTATTAAAAGTGCAAAAGAGCATTTGTTAGAATGAGGCGTAAACTGGAAAAGAGCGCATGTAGAAAAAAATCACTCGGTTTCATCTTGGACAAAACTGACACCTTATTTTATTCTTTTCAAAGATTAAGAGAGTTGTGGGCGCCCCTATAACTCACCTAGTTGAGCGGGCGACCCCTGAACAGGGACTATAGTTCCCTGATGTGGGTTCGACTCCCGCTCCTTTGCTGCAGGTCTCTCCCCATTCTCCTCCCCCCTTTCCTGTCTGTCTCCACTGCTCTAAATAAAAAGCCCAAAAAATATATTTAAAAAAAAATAAAAGGAGCAAGAGAGTTTTTTGTCTGAGCACACCGCAGCCACCAAGCAGCAGCTACCGCAGCCTGCAATGTGAGGCGTTTAGGGAACATCGGTAAATTGTAGTGTCTATCAATATGAAAATGTTCAGCAAGTCATATGTTTTGCCCGTGACCAGGTGGGAGGTAGGACCAAATAAGAAAGTTGGTCGCCCCGGTGCTAAATAAGTTAGTCTGGGGCCCTGTCAGTGCTGGGTAGTAAATGTTACGCCTTCATAGTCCTTTGTCCCTAAATCTCCTCATAACGTCGGTACATAAATTCAAATAATTTCATGTCCACTTGCAGCTCAGGTCCAGTCAGACCAGCAAGCAGAGATAAAACAAGTAAAGAAACCTCTATGTTACGGCTTGCTCTGCCAGCTGTCTGTCTGACTGGTCTTGGCCAAGTTGGATTATCATAAAAAAAACAGGAAGACAGTTGATGCAGACGTCTGGGTGAGCTGAAGCTCTCTGAGTCTGCACCTGCAACCTCTCCATTAGTTCACAGTCAGAGTATTATTCTTATTATTATATTATTATTATTAGACGTTTATTCATAGCACCCAACCACACGCTGCTGAAATGATCTTTCTTTTTTAGCTGTTATGCTTCTTCTCCAAATACTTTTGCATCTGTTCTTTCTGTCATAGCTCCTCCCACATGATGCAGGAGAAACGAGGGTGTGAAGTGACAGCAGTTAGTGAAGACATACGGCCACTAAATATGAGCTAACGCTGAGCTTTAACAGATTGTTTTGATGTCTCATTGCTTCGGTAAAGTTACATAATTTTCCTGTAAAGTGCCACTTCTGCTGTAAAGTGTTTGCTTCAGACTCCCACCAGAGGAACCGAGCGATAGATCCACTTTGCAATCAGTGTGCCATAGATTTAGGTCATGCCCCATAAACTGCTGAGAGCGAGACGGAAAACATGTATTGAATATGTGTATTTCCGTCTCTGTCGTTGTCATCCACCGTGACATTTTCCAAGTAGCTGTGCTGCCTTATTATGACAGTACTAGTAATTTACCAATAATAGATGTGTTTGTTTCAGTTTCATCATCATGTAGGTGGTGCAGAGCTCAGCGCTTTTTGTTGATGTGAAGTCATACTTTAGGTGGTGTCTGTTAATTTTTAGATCTGTCAAATAGATTGCAGTCGGTGATGCCTCATAATCCACAATGTGCTGGAATTTTAAAGGAAATATCAAGCAGTAATATGTAACATGCATAGTGTAAAGCAGTAATAAAAAACAAAACATGTTTTTATCAATGAAGTCAACCAAACCTGTGCCACAGTGTAGAGCCCCATAAACATGCATTCACTCTGGATTTATTTCCAGACGTTTCAAACATCAGCGACTTGTAGCAGATGTAAAATAAAACAAAAAAAGTAGAGGTAGTGGGAGAAACAGAGAAAAAAAGATGTATTTGATTCACTGATTACTGATTACAGCCCTGCGTTGTGCAGCATTTCTGTAGCACAGAAGTATATCTAATATTCCAAAAGGAGGACCGTAAACACCCAGCATGCCACTTTAAAAAAAAAACTTTCTTGCACAAGTCAGATGGATAACACAGATATCTTCCCACCCTCACTACCAAACTGCACAAAATAAAAAGCAAACCACCCGTACTAGTTTCGCTAATTAGATCTTGCTATTTTCAACCCACATAATATTATTATTGCCCAGGAAATTCCAGTGTATCCCGGCAGCTCTTGGAACAAAAGCCGCTCTGTGTAATTTTGTGTGTCACACTTTTTTTTTTAACAGAGATGTCCAGAAACTGCATTAAAATTCCTCTTTTTTTTTTTCAATTGCAGATTCTCACCCTGTTCTTCTCCGTGCTGTGTTTGTTAGTTTGTTTACATCACACACGTGGTCCTGTCCACTGTTAAAGCTGTACACTTTTATTTCCTCTTACTGCTGAAACAACATCAGACAATCTCCTTTAACTGGACAAAACCACAACTTTGCCTGGGACAAAAAGAAAAATACAACCCTCCAGCACATACTGATCCTGACCAGCAGGTGGCGGCAGTAGTGTGGTAATGTGTGATGAATAGCTCCTTGGCCATGTTTTTGTGGCTGTTAATTGCTCCTGGAGATCACATGACTGTACGTGCCACTGTACAGAAATCAGTCTATTAGAGCTGCTGCTTCAGACAATGTTGTTTTTATTGTGTGTCTCCTTCAGCAGGTAATGATGCAGTTGAGTCAAAGCTCCTCTTTCTGTTTTCTCAGTTTTCTACTTGTGATTGAGTTAAATTACTCCCGTGGTACTGAGCTTAGTTTTCGATGATTAATCATTTATCTTACACTTCATACTTGACATTTCTTAAGCATTTTTGTAGTTGGAGTGGAAATGTGTTAAAACCTTGGGACAGAAAACTTCCGGTGCAGCAGAGTCTACAGTTGTTTTTATTAGTTATTCTTGCAGCTGCTTGCGGTGTGTGTTCTATCCATACGGTACAACCTCATTCTCAGGTTTTGTCTCGGACCAGTGCCTGTGTCCGTACTGGAAGCACATTAAAGCACAAGCAGCTTTACAAATATCCTGCCTGTGTCTAATGATTGATAAAGTAACTGTGTGTTTTTCCACTCCGTTGATCCATCTGTTCATTTCTTTATTTTTTATGGTCGTTATTACCCGCAGTCAGTTGTATTAATTGTTTTCTTTAAAGGCCACTAAACTGTGCCAGGTAAATCAATAATCAGCTACTGCTCCAATATGTATTAAATAAGCACTGGAAGTGTGTTTGTTTGAAAATAAACACAGTTTAGCCGCCATGAACAGCTGTTAGGCTCCATCATGGAAAACCTGACGACTGACCAAATCATCCTACGTATGCTGTGTGTCTATACACACTAGTTTGTTTACATGCTTTCTGTTTACTGGGTTTTAATGCTGGGGAGGTCGCACTGAACAAAATATAAAGAACATACAATGAACTTTTACTTGTTATCATAGCTTTTACAGGTTGTATAGAAAGCTGTGTGTTTGATCCTGCAGCTGTTGGTCTTTATTCTTCAGGTGCTCTTGTTGGCTTCCAACCTCGCCTTCCTTTAGATGTAGTTTCTCATCCGTGGACTTTGGTTCAATTATATTTGTCTGACTACTAAACTGGAATGAGTTGAAATCATCCTCATAAAGCTCTGCAGGGTAATCAAACGCAATGGCATTTAGCTACTGAGTTTCCAGTAACTCACACATATAACAGCATGAATGTTGGGTCTATTCCAGAACGCAGGTTTTCAGAATAGTTTGTTAACCCTGAGGTGAAGGAAACTTTGGGCTTCCTGTTCCATAAGGAGATGTTACATCCACGATGCAGGTAGCAAAATGGCTCATTTCTGCATGACGTTTCAGACACAAATGTTTTAACGACTTCTGGTTTCCCTGAATCTGTACAACAAAGTTAACAAGACCTACAGAGACCACATTAATCTAAAATACAGTGGAATGATCCTTTATGGCCTTCTCATACATGTTGGCTTGTACATTGAGACTGAACATTTATTTCTAACCACCAGGACATCTTTTGTGTTTCTGTACAGCAATTCTTTGTCATGTAAACACACAATATGGACTATTTATGTTCATCCACCGGCTCTTGTTTGTCTCCCTTGGCAGACTCCAACTCTTCTGCTGACTCCAAGTCCGCTGCTGTCCAACATTCACTTCTGGAGCACGCTCAGTCCAGTCGCTCCCCTCAGCCCAGCGACACGGCGCCAGGGAGCCCACCTTTTCCAAGTCAGTACACAAACCTAGTGTCATTTAGTCTGTCTGTGTTTAACTATGTGTCTAAAGCCCACTGTCACACTCCTTTGTGTTCTCAGTTCCCATCAGTTCTCACCCCCCAGTTCCAGATCCCAGTACACAGCATGGATGGGACCAACACACCGGGCCCGATTTCACCAGACCCTCAGAAAACATAGGCTCAGCGCCCTCCTCCCGCCCACGGAAAGCCAGGCACCCGTCCCCTCCATCACTTCTTCTGCAATCTCCCGCTCCCACACCGAGGACAATGATGTGGGAGTGTTTCCTGTCACGTTGGTGCTTTGAAGTTCGCTGCCACAGAAATTCACACTACAATCAGGTGTGTGGAGGGCGGCTGTGGAGAAATGTCGGCAGTCCAGCTCTGACGGACGAGGGTAACACGTTTGGTTTGTTTCAAGGCATTTACACCCTCAGGATGCTCTTCTGTTCTCACACATCTCATCGTCGTCATCATCCTAATGCACTCACAGATCCGTTTTGTCTGGCTTTGTTTTTTTTGGGGGATCCTCAGTCACAACAAAGGAGGGAAGAATTTCCATGGCAACAGTGCGTTGCTGGTGGATTGGACCCTCAGCAGCCACAAGCTGCTTCATACTTGGACACACAGATCAGGGGGATTACAGATATCTGAATCAGTCCTTTTTATAGAATCTCCTTCTTATCTTGTGCAGCTGTGTGATTGCCAAACGAGACAGGTTTTATGCTATCAGTTCCTGACCTGTTTTCTCCTCTGCTCACAGTGATCCTTTTTCCTTTCTGTGCTCCAATCTTAACTTTTGCTCTTATTGAAGGGTAGTGCTTTAACCTGATAACCTGCATGTTTACCTGCAGCTCTTTTGTTTTTTAGCAAGTTCTCAACCTAAACTTAAATGTCAAGCCTTGCCTCAGTTGCTGTGAAATGCTGGCCATATCCAATGAGACTTTTACCTTGACTGTCTTATCACGACAATGTTGCCATAATCTGAGCTGAACCTTGAATCATCCCTCTATATATCTTTTGTAATGTACAGTAGAATAGCCCCGAAAGCCAGTGTGGCCTGGTTTGCCTCCAGTTAGTAAACTTTTCACGTGGGAATGAAAGAAAGCAAAGCCATAACTGCTTCTGTGAATTGATTTTGCAAGCCACAGTGCACAAATCCTGTCCTCACTACCCTCATTTTGCCATTTGTAATCTAATACTGCAGTGTTGAAAGCAACCAGATCACACTGGAGACGTTTATTTAACGTTCTTTAAACAGATATTTCAGAGAAATGATCAGCATGGAAGGAATAGTTTTGCCAAATACACGTATTTGTTTTGTTGCCTTGAGCTGTTTGGGAGGATCAATACAAACTCGCATGTCTGTAAAGGAGGAAAACACGATCAGTCACAGCATTAAAACCACAGAAAAATCAATCACGTGGGTGTTACTTTGACACGTAGCAGCCCGACTAAACATCGCTCCAGACCAGGCCAATGTGGTCAAGGAGCGTCACAAAAAGAGCCCAAAAACTCCCCAGACCCCAGAGTAGTCGACCAATTCACCAAGGCCTCACCACAAAGCACTCCCAGAGGTTACGTTTCCCGACATCCCGACAGATCAGAGCTTGATTTAACGTCATGGCTGATTGGTGTATGAAGCTGGAGCTAGGAGCTGATTGGCTTAGCTTAGCACCAAGACTGGAGACGAACCAGCGGTTCTGGTTTAGAGTTCTGGTTAAAGTCTTTTCTGATTCTGATTCACGTACTAGCACCGTTTTAAAGCTCGCTGATTAACACGGTCTGTCTGTTACCTTTATGCCCAAGTGAAAAGCAAACTGCAAAGACAGGAGTTTAATAATCTGTGGAGTTGTAGAATCTTCTGAACCTCAAGTAGATTAGTCATTTGATTATGTTTCGAGCGTTATAGCAGAATGATAGTGAGGCGCAGCCAGACCGATATGTCCTACAGAAAGGTCTGGCTAAGCAAGACTACATTTTTACTCAATGATGTCTCATTTTTTTTTACAGCAATACGACGTCCTGCACTTTTATAGAAATGGCACGACCATTGTTTGAAGTAGATGTCCTCATAAATGTCCTCTGTGCAGTAAAACAGAGGTACGATGCCCTGAAAGCTAGAAATGAAAAAACAAAAGTTACATTTTGTTTAGTTATTTTACAAAAACTAAAAATAAATGGAAGTAATATGTACAGGTCTTACTAATACTCAGGAAGAAAAAGATGACATCACATGCTATAAATGTTTTGTTTTGTTTTGTTTGTTATCAGCTGTTTCCTGATTTTAGTCTTAACGTTTCGCTGGCTCCAGCTATAAACTCACCTCACAGACGTAACACAACTTTTTGGCAAAAAAGCAAATAAATGTGAAACTATTCCTTCTAATACAGATGGATTTTTATTTTCTTATCAAACAAAATCACACCAGACTTTTAAAAGCTTGCTGATTGTCTTAAAATCCAGCTTTGTGTGAAATGAAAGCTTTGTTGACGTGCATCGCAGTTCGTCCAACTCACATTTAACCTCCAGATGTAATTCACCAGATTCTCGTCATTTTATCCTTTTTGAAACACAGATATGAGCCAAAACACGATGACCACCTGTCTAACATGCTGCTGAAGTTTCACTTGCTGCCAAAATAGTTTAGGCACCGAGACATTAGCAGGTTTATGGATCGTTGGCCGTCGCTGCTAATCGAGGGCATCCACCAGGTGTTTAGGAAAGGGTTCATCTAAACATTATAATCCGACCCTGACAGAAGTTCTTTAGCTGCCCACTTCTCCTACATCCTACTTGTTGATTTCGAAAACCAGCTGTTCACTTACTAATAATCCCACACCTCAACATGTGCCATTGCTACGAGATAATCAGCATTTCTCATTTCATCTGTGGTCAGAGTGTCTTGGCTCATCGAGTTTACATCCTCAGACCTGCAGAAACACACGTTAGGCAGCACCTTCGTATCTCCTCAGAGCCCCTCTGACAGATTATCAGCCACGAGAGGTTTACGATTGCTTTGTAACTGACTTTAAAGCCATAAGTCTGAGACACAGACTCCAGAGGTAGATCCCACCGTTCTATGCTATTAAACGTGGAAGTTGTACACATCGCACTTGTTTACACGATGCTCGGATAGAACACACCCAAGTGTGTTTGCGTGTGTGTGTGTTTGCCAAAGTGTCACTTTCTAACCCAGGGATGGATGACCAGCGAATTTTATAGGGGAGGGGACGCTCGTTTTTACTGCGCTGCCAGATATCTGCCCCCCCCCGGCCTGCAGTCCGTCACAGAGATATACGGTGCCTTACCCCAGCCAAGCCCAAGTGTCTCTCCCAGATGTGGATGGAGTTCTATCATTGAAAAGGTTATATATATATAAATATATATGTGTGTGTGACAGCGCTCCTGTTTTGTTTTTATGTCATATCTTTGCGTAGACCAAAACCCCAGAAGTATGAGGTAAAACTTCACCGGGATGTTTGGGAGTTCAAACACGTCGTCGCAGCGTTTTGTTTTTGTTTTTCTTTTCTGGATGCGTTACTGTACATACAGACAGCACAGCATGAAACATCAGGCCATGTTTTTAAATTTTGGTGTCTCTTTCCAACCTGCTTCTTAAATGTTTGTGATAACAGATTTACTCAGAAAGTATCTAAATATATAATAGAAAACCTGTTTAGCATTTTTCTGTCGGGGTTGGGGGGCGGGTGGGGAGGGAGGGAATCAAGGCCTTACTGGGAGAAATCTATGTTTTATATGTTCAATGTTTTGATATAGTGTTGATATTGTAAATGCAGATGTTGTGATGAAACGTTTGCACTTAAATTTTTTGGGGTTCCTGTAGTATTGGATTCTGTCACTTTTCTACGACTCAGACCTGCTCTTTGATGAAGTGTTTGTTTGCTTACTGAAAAAATGTATATTTTCCCAAAGAGAGGATTCAGTTATGCACTTATATTTTGTAACGCATAACAGAGTAAAATCTAATCTTTTACTGTGTATATCAAATAATTTACAGTAATTTGTAATTAGGCACTACCACATAATATATATTTGTGAGAAGTTAGAGTAGAAACCCAATCTGATTGGTCGCCTCTGCTGCATTTTTGCAGTAACTTTATTTAACAAAACTATAAAATAGCTGGAAATGACCCCTGTTTAAATTCTCCTCCATTCACGTCCTCTTGGACTTGTCATCTAAATATTTCTTCATTTGTATCTTCTGATGATGTTTTCTCCACCTTACCTTGAAATGTAAAAAAAATCTGGTTTTGCGAGAAGCGACACTGTTCTTGTTCTGTTCTGTCCAGTTCTCTATTTGTTGATGCTTTTTCAAATGTTTACAAGCTGCTTGTCTTAAGTGGCGTATTGATGTGCGAGAGGTGTAGAGGAAGTGTTTATTACACAAGAACTAGGTGAGACCAACAATAAACGATCTCTGACTAACTAGATCTTACTTTATGTGCCTTTCATGTCTTTCTAGAAACCGCTGCAAACACACGCACAATCAGATTATACTGAAAAGACGTTTATTTAATCTTCAAATTGTCCTTAGAATCAAGCTACAGCAGAGTTTAACGTCCTGTAAGAGATGATTGTGCAAAAACATGAATTACTGGTCATTCATCGAGCTGCTTGTTGATCGTCTGGCTTGAAAGCAGGTCCCAAATGTTCATCTGTACACGACTTCCACAAAGGAGCACGCAAGAAACCTTCACACAGGGGAACAGGGGTTTTGTCTTTTGGCTGTGCGCTCGGGTCTCTTGGGGGTGTAAATATCACGAGCCGTCTGCCTTTGATTTTTCTGTCATGTCCGTGCTATTAGATGAATCTGAGAGGTAAACACAAGAGAATTGACGTCCAGAGGACGAACATTCAACAACGTACAACACATTTACAGAGCATGTGCGTCTCACAGAGCAGCGTGGACTGCTCTATCTTCACATCTTGTATATACATTAACTCAGCAGCAACATATTTGTGAACAGCTATGAAAGGGGGGTTAAATGTGCTTCAAGGTAAACCTGGATTCAGATGCTCTGAGCTACAGATGGCCAGTTTTCAGCCTTCTGTAGTGAGTCACCTGATAAACGCTGCAGCCAGGGAGTAGAGAAGTTTTCTTCATGTCGTCTTCAAACAGCTTCTGTGTATTTTTGGCTGTTTGCTTTGAGTCTTGCTAGAAAAAGAAAAAAAATCTTCTCCCAAGTCGCAGCTCTCTTGTAAACTGGTCGTCCTCCTTTACGTTTCGGTACTTTGCTGCTTTTATTTCTACCTTTGGAGTTCTTCCGAGGCCGGCTGCTGAGGAGCATACTTACGTCATGATGCCGCCACCACCGTGCTTCGCAGTGGGGACGGTGTGTTCGCGATGGTTTGATATGTTTTCGGCCTCATCGGACCAAAGAAGTCTTCTTGGGTGACCGTTCCATTCTAGTTCTTCCACACTGAATGACGTTCTAATGGCCACTAACGATGCCTGAAGCCACTGATACCTAACGGGGTGCCCAAGCCTGTAGAGCTGTCGGCGTCCGCGGCTTTCCCGATGTCTGACATCTCCCAAGCGCACCGACGGGTCTCCAGAGCTTGCTGGAGCACTGAATGCTCATCTGGCCAAAAAATTGCAGATGGTACCACAGGCAGCTTAAACAGACAGGCCTAGCTTCCCCTGGAAACTGTGACTGAGACATCCCTTCCTCTAAATCAAGAGTGGTGAAACAGGGGGGAGGTGGTTTCTCCAGCTTCTCCTCAACCATCTTTTCCACACATGCTCCACTAGGGTCAGGTCCTCCCCCTCCGAACCAGAACCCAAGATGCCAATTAGCTGTGTTAGTTACAGTTAAAATGAGAATGCTGCAAAGAGATGCTGGTCAACATCTGTTAATGAGCCCTTTCACTCTGACATTGATGGTTTGTTCCCTTAATCCAGATGAAAAACTGAAATATGTTTTCAGGACTTGTCTTGACGAGGCTTAAAGACAGTCTGGACCAGAGGTATTTGTTTTCAAAGTGAAGCAGTGGAGTGCTGCTCTATACTGTCTGTTATGGGAAACACTGGTGCTGACCTGTGTGGTGGTTTCTGTGGATGCGCTGGACGTAGAGGAGCAGCAGGAACAGGCAGAAGCCGATGAACGATGATATTGTGCAACACAACAGGAAGGAGTAACTGCCCTGACTGTGAATTACCTGCAGGAAGTGACACACAGTCCACGGTGATGAGGCAGCTACTTGTACACGCATGTGAAGCAAATATAACGTCCTCGAAAAACAAAAATATGCAGGACTAACCCTGAACAACAATGTGATGAAAAACCTATTTATGTAGACTCATGAAACATTTACTTACTGATCCAACAAGCAGCTGCAGCATCATCTCTCCTGTGCCGGCGCTCGTCACCAGGACTGTCGTCGCACAACCTTAAAAACAAAACAGACTAAATACAACTACAGAGGACAAAAACTGCCAAATTCAAACAGTAATGAATAGGTA